TGCCGTGTGTCCCAGTGCTTTTCAAAATCAGAAGGCAGTTCAGCCAGAGATAGGAATGGAATCACTTAGAGTAATTACTCGAGAAACATTAAAGAAACATTTTAATCAAGCGTCCCGCTGTTGTGTGAGCCGTCGGCGCTGGAGTCAGACCGACGCCTGAGGATGATTTATAGCTCGCTCTGTGGTCCATGGTCATCAGACGGAGGTTGAGTCCCCTTGGACGTGCCCCATCCATTGATGGAACCATAAACACCAACAACGTACCTGGAGACCCCTCATAGATGCCAGTGCCAGAACATATGGAAGTCTCATTAGGCTTAGTATTTACCATGATCCTCTTTTATTATTTTATTATTATTATTTTATTATGATGATCAGCAGCAAATAGGGACCGCTGACAATAATTGCAGTTTAAGGGTTTCTGCAGCAAATAGGGACCGCTGGCAATTACTGCAGTTTAAGGGTTGCTGCAGCAAATAGAGACCGGTGACAATTATTGCAGTTTAAGGGTTTCTGCAGCAAATAGGGACCGCTGACAATTATTGCAGTTTAAGGGTTTCTGCAGCAAATAGGGACCGCTGACAATTATTGCAGTTTAAGTATTTGTCTGTGTGAAGATTTTGTGATACCAAGAACAGTCTATTTATGATAAATTTTGATTCCCCAGTGCTGTATATTTTCCCATTTTCCACAGGAGCCCAGTCTCAGCCTCTCACTCTATTAGTTTGTCCAGAGGTACCATGATGCCAAAAATCGTTCATCTTTTCAGGTTCAGGGTTTTTCTCAGGTGTCTGGAAATACAACAAAAGAAAGCAGAATTTCTTTCACACATTGAACCCGAGGCCGCAAAAGGTTGGCATTGACAACGATGTCAGCAGTTCCTTGGAGGGAGGGAACATTTCAAGAGTCTGACAGTTCTGGCCCCCTTCCACTGAGCGTGGACAATGGCGTGAGCACACAATGGAAGCTAACAGTAAGTGATTGAATATGCAAAATTAAAATTCAGTGAATCGAGATGCACCTGTTGTAACTCTTTACATGAACCTCAGTTGACTTTAGTTGCCATGGAGACCTGTGAGCCATTTGATTGGCAGCCTTAGAGATGGTATACTCCTGCCATACATACCAAACACATCCTTAGACCTTCACTCTCTACAACAGCAGTTTCCTCCAGAAACACATCTTAAAATTCATGGCATTCCTTATCTGATGCTTGGTTTGTGAGGTCTGGCCTTGCATGAGCTACTGGCTTTTTGTATGATTATGTTTGAATTTTATGTTTTGCTTCCTAATACAAATAGAGATGTTTTTCATCCATTTCCCATTCTTAAAAAATATGTGTCTGTTCACTACTGCAGGAACAATGTTCTGATTTTCATATACATTTTTACCTTTATTTTTTGTAAGAAGTTTCTGTCTTAACTTTGCTGCTGGGTGTAACATAAATGATTTTTTCATGTAGCCACTGGCACCAAACGACAGGCTGTTCCAATTCGCCATCGACCAATCACGGGCCGGTGAAAGACCGGGGCATCTTACCGGAAAGCCCTGCTAGAAGAGTAAAAACAGTTTCATTTCATCTTCCTCCTGCGCATTTTCCACTCCAGCTGTTCGGGAGAATGGACACCGCAGTCCTGAAAGCATACGTAATTGGTCCGTTTCCACCTCATCTCCTGCAGCATTCGCCTCGCATGTCTGCCTCATAAAGGCACAGACTCAGCGCTAAAGTGAATTCGAAAGAGCAGAATGAGGCCCTTTATGCCTCCCGCTGGCTTGTGTTAAACTACTTATTAAGCGAAAATGGATTATAGACACAGAGACAAAGCCCCCGGTCCTTCGCCTCCCACACTGCAGAGCGCGGACAGGGAACTCCATGCTGCGCTGTAATTAAACGTATACTTCGGGATGACAGGCATGTGAGCTGCTCATGTTTGTTTGCTCAGGAGATAATGGTGATGGCTGCCATGTTTGCCAGAAGTCTGTTGGATATATCTGAAAAGTCAGTGGATGTGTTTGAAAATGTCAGTGGATCATTGGGTATGTTTCTAAAAAGTCGGCGGATATATCTTTAAAATTTACTGAGCATATTCAAAAAGTTATTTAAAAAAAAAAAAAAGATTAGATGTACATGTTAACTATAATATCATACAAACTCACAGCACAGACTTAGTCAATCATAATATTTGTGTATTTATTCATTCATTCATGGCGTGTGCCTTAAGTTGTCTATGTGTAAAACAGTTTTTGAAGTCTTAGACAAACACTGCTTCATTTTATTGATTGATGTAAGAGGTCAGTAGATAGTAAGGTTTAAAAAACGTTGCTGGATATACATTTAAAAAATCTACGGAGCAGTAGGCCAAAACCCAGGGGGAAATTCAATTCCCTCAGCACTGAGGCCACGCTATCCTGAGAAAACGTTCTTCTTTATTGCATGTGTCTTGAAATGACTCTCAGCACTAGACAATATTTCAGCGTCTTTGCCACATTCAGTAGTATCTTGAGTTCCCAGCTGGCCAGCAGTTCTGGACACAAAGGCCTGATTCCAGGATCCCGTTTATTCGTTTGCTTGTTTTTAATATCGTGGATGAAGGTGAGGGGCTCTTTGATCTGACAGGATCACTAATCTTACTCTAGGCAGGTGCTGTCTATCCCGCGAGTCATAGCTCTGGTATGAGCCCTGCCTCTCGTGGAAGCCGATCTGATTCGTCGATAACGGCACCTGCACACATTCCAGAATATCGCCATGTGCTGACATCAGTGTGCAGTTTTATTTCTTTTTTTTTCCTTCGGAAAACTGATTAAAGGCTTTTTCCTGATTAGGTTATTAGATAAATGAATGGCAAGTTATCGTTGGCACTGCTAGAAGTTGGTTTTCCAGAAGTGCTTGATTGTCGTTTCAAAAGACAACGGGAAACATGCTCGTAGCTAAATGCTAATTGTAGCCTCCTAGTATGGAAATTTAGCTAGCTTGATTACCTGAGTCTCTCTCTACCTAAAATAGATGAAAAATGATTGTTATCCATTGAGCTAGCTTGGGTGTAACAATAAGGCCACTTTTTAATGCCCTCTGAAGAATGACCTCAGCGATTTTGACAGTTAAGTGTTAATTTTCCAGCCATTTTCCAGCATCTGACGGAATGCTGAAAATATGGGCCTGGAGCCAGAACAACCTTAGGCTCCTCCCAGTTTCTGAGCTGTGGTTTTGCTTATATTGCTTTTTCCGTGTAATTAGCAGAACACTAAATATAGGAGCATTAACAGGCTAAGTAGCTGGTGTGCTATTTATACACAGGTCTTATATTTTTAGACAGAGATTTGCTGTTTTATTTTGGTATATATTAAAGTGCTTGTTCCCACATGTCTATGATATCAGCAGCAGTCTGTAATGGCGTTCCAATCAAAGAAACATACTAGTTAATGAGTTAAAAGGTTATGCTCTGAATAGCCAAGTTAAGATTTACATACAGGCTAGCCCTTTGACTTGAGTGGGAGTGATGCATCATGGGAAACCACTTTAAAGTGTGACGACTGTGACAGCATGTGACTATTTTAATGAAACTGTCCGATGGTTCATTTAGTTTTAAATTTCTATCTTTGCCTCTAGTACATTTCCCCCTTTTTACGCTGAAATCCCATTTGTGTTAAACCACTGAACTTAATAATGCAACTGTACTCTATATCAATACTCCATTATGTATGATGGGCTGGAACAGACACTGTCCCTCCAGTTAGATTTCCCTGGAGAATGCACGCTCTCACTGGATTGGACCGATACTACAAGATAGGCGGAAGATCAGTCGCATGCCTCCTAGCCATGAAGATATAAAGTGCAATTGTTTTGTCACAGGTAGTGTCAACATCACCTCCTGTTTGTTTAAAAAACGATTACCATGCCTTTGTATTAGTCTCAGTGGAAAGCAAACCTGAAAGGTAAAAGCTGAACGAGTTCTGCTCTGTTTATCTGAGGAGATGCTGCAGCACGAGGTGACCATCGTGCTGGCTATACCCCGTCTGCGAACCTCCTCTACAACAGTGACGTCCATTTAAGAGGAAGAAGATGGACTTCTGTCCTTGCTTATGGACATGATCACTTGGCACATGCTAGCTGTTTTGATAGCTTCTCTTAGCGACGATCTTGACTCTCAGACGAGATTAATTGCAGTCCTTCGAATTCTCTAACAATTCCGTCGTCGGAGGCGTCAAGCTCTCAGCTGTTAATTATATTACCATTATTAATTAACGCGCTTGCCAACACGTGTCCCACCCCCACTGGTCAAATACGAAAGCACTTCTGTCGAGCTAACGAGCTTTCCGGAGGATAATCGTAGCAAACGCTGAAACCTGGCAAATTAAGTGTGCAGTTATATGTTAAGTTACACTTACGCATGTAATGTCTCTCGCACATCAGAAATACACTGATTTTCTTTTAATAATGAGCTATTATCTACTCAGCAGATATAAATGGAACTAATTGAGCAATTTTGTTCTTGGCTGCGTATAGCCCTGTGTAATTATGCTGTCCCATGCATCCAGTATACACAGAAACCACTACATACACTTAGAGTAAACATTTGCTTTTACATCTGCTGTTGTTGCTAGGATGAGGGAGAGTTTGGGATGTGCAGAGCATCCAAAAGACCTCAATCCCCTGCACTCGCCTTTTTTATATGTTAGAACATTTAATATTACCCCCACTACTGATACATCTATAGATGAAATTCTGTGGCGTTGCATTGTCTGTGTACTGCAGTATTTGCACAATAACTTATTTGCTCCTTGTAGTTTGTATACTTTCATTTACAGGGTCCTCGTAGCCCAGGCTTTGCGCAAGTGTGGTTTACATCTTTAAATGACACTTGACAGGTGCTCACTTGTCCATGTGGCCCTGGATAAGGTCACAATGTCACTGTCCCTTTAGAAGATGGGGCCTGAATTTGCTGCTTGTTTCTGAGGCCTAGGAAGACTTTGTGATTCATTTGATTCTTTTTCCTTTGCAGAGGAATAACGTGGCTCTTTTGCGCAGCCTGATTCTGCTGGCAGTCTGGGGGGCTGTTCTGCTGGTGACCCGCCTGCACTGGATGGGCAGCACGCCGCCCAACTTCTCCAACTCGGACAACCCAGCAGCCGACTCTCCCAGCTTCCTGACCAGGACCCTGACCTTCCTCTACCTGCCAGCAGCCAACGCGTGGCTGTTGCTGTGCCCAGACACCCTGAGCTTTGATTGGTCGATGGACACCCTGCCCCTCCTCACCAGTACTTCTGATTGGAGGAATCTGCATACTGTGGCATTCTATCTAGGATTACTGCTCCTAGCTCGGTTTGGCCTTCGAGGTCCTGCCGTGGCCAAGGAGGCCAACGGCAAAGCCCTCATCTCAAATGGCAAGTCCAGCGCCAACGGGCACAGTTGCCAGGTCGATTCGGAGCACATCAACTCAAACCCAGCACCTCTAAACAGTACAGAGAATGGCACAGAACCCAACTGTGCGACACCGAACCTCCTGCCCAGCACAGAAAACGTTGTGATGTTCTCCCTGGGCCTGATGTCCGTCCCCTTCCTCCCCGCCACTAACCTTTTCTTCTACGTGGGCTTCGTGATTGCCGAGCGGGTCCTCTACATACCCAGCATGGGTTCCTGCCTTCTGCTGACTTTGGCCATGAGGTCCCTGCAAGTCCGCCTACGGAAGACGTCCTCCAAGACCATAGTGCTGTACTGCAGCGCCAGCTTGGTCATATTCTACGGGGTCAAAACCGTCTTGAGAAACCAGGATTGGCACAATGAGGAGATGCTGTATAGGTCAGGGATCACTGTAAACCCTGCCAAAGGTAAAGCGAGCTTCATTCAACTGTAGAGGTTAATCTGACCCTTTGACTTAATTGTAACTCTGTCAAAAATCTTAACAGCCCTACTATACTGCTCAGTAATGTTAATTCACTGCTTAGTTTAGCATTTTTACTTGTGACATCAGAAACATTTACAATCTGCTGACTGCAAATTAAATTCCGCCTGTTAAAATTGTACATAAGCAAAATATCTTCAAGCAAAAAATGATCGGCACTGCAAGATGTTCTGTTGCGTGTGTCACCTTTGTGTTTTGGAAAGCCAAGGTCAGAATGTCTGTGATGTTGTTTTTTGCTGTTACTCTCTTACTTGCTTATTTGCCAAGATAGGAAGACAGAATTTGGACTCTATCCCGCACCCTGATGGGTTCGAGGTCCCCAAACTACTTCTGATAATGAGATTTTAAAATCCTGTCTTTGCATATTTACATTCACGTCATCGACTTGCTGCTGACGCTCGGCGGTTGAAAGTTTAAACACCTAAACTATCAGATGTGCTCTCAATATATTACAGTCTGCAAGCTTTTCTTAAGCCTGTGTGATGAGTCAGCATGAGGCATTTAAATCATTACCGATTGTGTAAAGGCATCAAAATGACTCTAAAGGTTAGGGAGAGCCACACTAGGAGAGTGGAACATCTACACGGACATGTCTGTCCTCATGACACAATATCAGGACAGGCATCAGGTGGTGCAGGAGCTGCAGATAATTTGAAACGTCTCCCCAATCAGCTTCAGGTCCAGCAGAAGTGAGTGATGTGGAGTCGATGACGCTTTTGCCTGACTGCATGCTGATGAGCCCTGACATGTTGGGTGGACTTGAGCTGCAGTTTCCGTTCGATGCGTCCCGATCGAAGTGCAGGCCGATTGTCCCCACCCCTTCCTTATTGACACCAGGGCGTCCGGAAGGCAGAGCCGTTAGCAGTGGAGGCTCTGCAGTCTGCCCCGTCCCGGATTTCATTCTCCGGCGCTCCAGGGAGTGCTGAATGGATGGATTGCTGCCGGCTGCAGCCTTGAATGAGACGTTTGGAGGAAGCTTTGATGCTCGGTGGCACATTGAGGCCGTGTGGGCCCCCATTGGCAAGAGAGACCACAGAATGCCCCAGGATTCAGTTAGAAACATAGAGGAAATGGAGGAATATTTCCTGAGCTTATATGATTAGTTATTCGTGCCTTGTGATTTGTTCTCTCTGCTGGCTCGAGTCATACTCATGGATGGTTTTGTTTTATTTATGTCAGTATTGACTGCCCCTTTTAAGGTCACGTCGGCTAGTCTGTGTGGTGATTTTCGAAGGACGTGAGAATCGATGTGCATTTGAATCTGGAACTTCCTCTCGAGACGTTCTGGATGCCGCCCTTATGTCAGTCGAGCTGGCATCGCAGAGCTGAACCTGAGACGCCTGTCAGTAACCTGCGATCTTCCACCTCGCCAGCTTGGGGGAACCTCGGGAACGTCCTGAAGAACCAGGGCAAGACCGCGGAGGCCGAGCAGGCCTACAGGAACGCCCTCTACTGCCGGAGGAACATGGCGGACATGCTGTATAATCTGTGAGTGCCGCCCGCTTGCTATCGATTGCTGGCGCCTTCGGAGAGAGGATGGATAATAGTGACTCTGGGGATTGCATTTCTACAGCAATCCTCTTATTAATCAATCTCTGGAAGCCTGATGCCGCATTAACCCCAGCTGTCAGGGGTGCTGAACTGCAGAGATGTGTCCCACTTAACATTAATATTCTCTTCTTTTTACAAAGTGTGCCGCCTGTTAATTTAATCCATCTTTACTCCTGTACTGCTGAAGTAGTCTCCCTGTATGCAGTTTGCAATTATAATGCACATTGCAAGCAGAAATAAGAGCGTAATGCTGATCTTAGCTAAACTAACAGCTGTACATGGACTGATATTTTAACTCCAGATCCACAGCTAGTTGACCGTAATAAATCCAGCAAGCGAATTGGTTTCGTTCAGTTACATAGTGAACTAAAATTTGTTCTTCGGTAAAACTTTACTTGCATTTGGTTTTGCGTTTGCCATACGATCAGTTCAAAGCCACTGCCTTTCCCTACATGTTATGCAACTCAAACGCAAATCCATCATTCTGTCTTTGTAGTGCGTCGTGAATATTCAGATCACTAGGAATCAGCACAACTCCTCAAACCAGCACACTGCATATTTCTGATCTCCCATGAACAGGCAGCTCGGGAGAAAGAGGTTTCTACAGGGGTGGGGCCATAGGGGAACTGGCCCCAGCTGAATTCTGATTGGCCCCTGGAGTGCCTCCTCCCTGTCACTCACACTTTCAAAAAGTATCATTGGCTACTGATAACGTTGGCCACTGTTATGCCACCTAACTAAACTAAAGTTGTACTGGAATCTCCCCTGAAAGGCAGTGACTGCAATAGGTGCTTGAAGAGGCCTTGGTATTAAATCCACTCCATCCTTCTTTTCAAGGGGTTTGCTGCTACAAGAAAACAACAGATTTTCTGAGGCGCTACATTACTACAGGCTGGCTGTCGGGAGCAGGCCGACTCTGGCTTGTAAGTATGGATCTGCCTTTTACTGGCGTATGGATTTGTTTTCTGCTGATTTATGGATCTGCTCCTAGTTCATTTGTGGATTTGCTTTTCTGTTTGAACTCCCCTGAGATTTTGCAGGCAACTTAAAGAAGCCTAGTTTTTTAAAAAAGCTTGTTTGCCACATTGTAGCTCTACTCAGTGCTATAGTTCGTTTTGAATTCAGGTCACAGGTTTTAAAGTTCTCTAATGCAATTATAAAATTAGCGATCAGCTTCCATTGTTGGACATGTAAAATTTTAAGAAAAGACCAAAAAAATTTCTTCTGAAAGTACTTAGTTTTTATCATAATGAGAATTCTCTACCTTCAGAAACTGTCATACGATGGCCTTTAATGTCCCTCCTCCCACAGCTGCTTACTTGAACACAGGAATCATCCTGATGAACCAAGGCCACCTAGACGAAGCTAGGAGAACGTTCCTCACATGTGCCGACATCCCTGATGAGAACCTGAAGGATCCTCATGCTCACAGGAGCTCCGTGACCAGCTGCCTCTACAACCTGGGCAAACTTCTCCATGAACAGGGCCATCAGGAGGTACTCACCCCGCCCGTGACTAGTCAAATTAGTAGTGTTGACTTAGAAAGGTCATCTTCTATCCCCAAAAGACCCCTGTTGGTGGACCTAGTACTTGAATAATGGAACCAACCTCCGTATAAATGTGTGAGTAGCTTGGGACAAAAACATGTTCTAAGAATGGTTCTGAGAAGCTCCGACGGAAGTTTAATAACAGAACTAAAAAGATCAAGAATAAAATCATGATATGAAAGCAACAAACCAACCACAAATTATCCAAATTCAAATGTGCAGAAACAGCTCTAAGCTTTTCCATCTCTCTCAGTCCATGAAGTTCAATTTGTCGTCTAAATTGCTTGCAAGAGCTTTCGCCTCTGAGACGGACTGAATCATAGCTGTAGCCTATTGACAGTTGTCTCAGCGAGTGGCCAGCAGACCCAGGGCCGTCCGTGTCGGCCTTTCCCATTGGCTGTTCCATGGATGACAAATTCCTTTCAGCACTGGTCAAAGTAAACAAGTACCTCTCTCCCCCCACCCCCCTCTTTTAGGGACTGTGGTGTGGAACAGTAACTCTCCTCGCTGATGAATGACCCAGTCTTGCTTTATCCGTAGGAGGCCCTGTTGGTCTACAAAGAGGCAATACAGAAAATGCCAAGGCAATTTGCACCTCAGAGCCTGTACAATATGATGGGTAAGTGACATTTCACACCGTCGCTGGTGGGAGATATCCAATCAGTAATCTCCGGGTCTCAAATCACATTTAAATGCCAGCAAAGCTGTCAGACTGCTTCATGTTAAATCCTTGCTGTTTATGCTTTATTCCTGCTGCTGTGGGCCGTCATAATCACTCACATTGAGCTTCATATGCTGCCGTCAGACCAAGGCCTGCTATTTATGACAGATTAAGTGGAGTTCTCGATGTTCAAGGTCTTTCATAGCTTTCCTATATACACATTAGAATGAAATTTGGATTGCATAAATTAGGATTTTGCCATCTTGCCCATTTGACTTCCTCTGCCGGCCCCTGAAGGATGGGCTCCCCCTTTGAGTCTGGTTCCTCCCAAGGTTTCTTCCTTCTAGGGAGTTTGTCCTTGCCACTGTCATCTCTGGCTGCTCACTGGGGGATTACAGCAGGGATAATGTAAAGAGCTTTGAGAGATGTTGTGAAAATGCACTATACAAATAAAACTGATTGATTGATTGATTGATTGATGAGTGCTTATAGGTCCAAGATGGGATAGAAATATCCTAAGAGCTCTATCTGTACATGATGCTCCTTCACTGTACACATTTGCATTCCTTATAAAATAGGGAAAACGTTTCTCTCTGGGGGAGTCTCCTCATGCTCTTACCCCCTGCTACCAGTTAAAGCTCCAACATCGCAATTGCACCTTCATTTCGAGTCCCTAGTAGAGTGACCCCTCTGATTAATGAACAGAGCCACTGGGGATCCGTGTGAATGTATCAGAAAGCCTCCACAGTCGTTGCCCATCTTCTGAGCTCCGGCCTCTGAGCTGGAGTCAGTGAGGTTTCTGTGAACGACGGCATTCCTTGGGCCTCTGCTCTGGTGTCACGTAAACGGTCATTTCGGCTGGGTATCTACCCCAAGCCCAGGGCGCATTGGACCCTTTCATCTCATATGACAGGCTGGACTGGTTTCTGAAACAAGTACGCAAACATGCAGCGAGTTATGAAGCTCGGGGTTGAAGCATTTAGATGAACCGTGTCATTTTATAACAAACACATCACCAGCACTGAATGCCTGTCTTCTGGTTTGCTTTGTAAGTTGAGAACTTGTTGGATCCTTCCATGACCTCATGGGTAAAAGCTGAGCTGATGTGACAAGCCTCAAAGCCTCAAAGCATGATGTCAGATGACGTCGCTCTGCGTTTAGAATCTTCTTGAGCCACCGCATTATTTAATCATCTCCCTCTCGCCTGCTGATCCCAGTCCAACCCGTTCCGGGTCTGAAGCCTGCATCCTACCGGAACCGAAGGATCTACTATATGTCTGATTGCGCTGCGGCTCACAGCATCTGCATTTATACATGAGAATCCTTCTATGACCCCCAGCTGACTGGAAAACAAAGACCTCCCAACCTAGAACAGCAACATTAATTCCTAGAAAATGTAAATAACTGTCAAAGCAACTGCTCACGTGTCACAGGGTGGCCACTGCGATGGGGCGACAGTTATTCCTGCCCATCATTGCAGTACACTGCCAACCTTGTTTATCCACCTTTGTGGTTCTGTAACCCCTGACATCTGAACCTCCCCACATCCCACCCACAATGTCTTCAGGAGAGGCCTACATGAGGCTGAACCGACTGCCCGAGGCCGAACACTGGTACAGGGAGTCTCTGAGGGTCAAGCCCGACCACATCCCTGCCCACCTGACCTACGGGAAGCTCTTGGCGCTCATGGTAAGGCACGCTCCCACACTCCTGCTTTCTCATGGTTCAGTAACGAGGTGGGGGGCAAATGGATTAGAACCAGGCGGGCTGGTGGTCCCACTCAGCTGGCAGCAGGACTGGAAGCTGATAGCTGAATCCCAAGAGGAATATCAACAATGGAATTATGTTTATGCTAATTATGTGACAGTCCCAGAGAATGCTGGGAAAAATCACTCTCCACAAATACTCCCATTGTGACTTATTTTCAAATAAAATGTTTTTATTTTTTGGTATAATAATCATTTAATCCATCAATGAAAAGGAACTAGAAAGTAAGAAATTAAAAGACACCCATGCTAATTAAATCCGACTGGAAGGTTCTCTCGGCAGTAAGTCGTACAGGGGAGCTGGACATGCAGAATGGATGCCTGGGTGGGTGGATGTGTAGGTGGGTGGATACCTGGATGTGTGGGTGGGTGGATGGATGGACCCGGCATCAGGTTTCCTGTCCAGTTGCTATCAGCACCTGCTAGCGGACTGAAGCAGGTCCAGGCGGGGCCACTGGCACTCTCCCCCTAGTGTGTCTCATCACGCGAGGAAGCCCACAACCTATCAAAGGAAAGTGCGGGCAGATGACACACCTGTCACGAGACCAGTGGTGGTGAGATGGCTTCAGCATCGAGAGGAGCCCTGTGATTCAGATGGGAAAATGGGCAAATAAAACTGACTGGAAATGAACTGGTTTAGATTATTAAAATGACTGGATAGCTTTGCGTTTTCAGCACTAATGTAAGCACTTGCAGTGTAGGTATGGTCTAATACTTATATATGTGTTAAATTTCCCAGCGGTCGTTTCTACTGTATATCCACTCCGGAGATCTAAAGACTGCCAGGGGATTTCATTAAGGGAAGCAGCCTTTGAGTCGTTGGAAGTCTGCCGAACATTCTGCATCCTACACAAGAAAAGATACTGTATGCTGGCACCTCTACTCTCTGGATGGTATCTCGGGTGGGAGAATTTATGTAGTATGAGGAATAGCACGTCACGCAAACAGAACTACGACATATTTTCTTTCCTTTAGCAAATGAATTTTGAGATGTTAAGAAATTGCCCTGCTCATTCTGGTAACTAATTAATATCTTGATGCAAAAGCTAATAGGAAGTCAGGAGCTTTTAAAGAAAAGTTTAGAAACGTTTTTATGTCTGGGCACAAAGTGCTATTCATCTACCCACAATGCTAAGCAAAAATAGCAGGTGGCTATTATGCCTGTAATAGCAGGTACGAAGTCATCCTCGGGCGTAAGGAAAGCCACCTCGAGGATGGTGACTGATAGCTCTACTGGGACAGCCCAACTCATCGCTCCTCGACCTTGGCGGGAGACGGAGATTTTATCTGGGTATGAGTAAGAATGGAGAATGGATCGGGATACCAGGGTCTGGTGAGGTCAGGGTCCTCTCTGGGGTTTTCCCCAACATCATTGTGAAAGTAACACTTCTAATGAGGGCTAAGATCGCTCTTCAGCCTTCTTGTCTTCCTCAGACCAAATGTACAACAACAAAGTGCCTCTAGATCCCATCACAGACAGCAATGATTGCACTGGGTCAAAGATCTTAGCTAATGAGACACACACCTATCATCTGAACCGTTCAGCTTAACAGGGTGGAGGCTGGGGGTGGTGTGGGAGGCTGGGGGTCATGACCTCCTGAAACCTAAGGGGCCCAGCATACCCCGGGGCTTAAGGATGTGTTCCTAAATTCAGTCATTTCCTCGCATAATCAGATTTAAATCCCATTCACAATTACCCCAGCAATAAGCAGTACAGCTGCTGGGTGTCTGATGTCATAGCGGGACGAGGATATCGTGCTGCACCAGGGCGTTTCACAGCAGGATATTGTTCCCCCGTTTGGGCATGAGCCGAATCGGGCTCTAATCTGTTTAATAACCAATTTTAAGAAGCTAATGAACCTTGTGCATTACAAGGGCCATTCTGTCACATTATATAGGACACGAAGGCAGGAGCAAATGCCTCAGAGGTGACATCACGGGCACATGTGACACCGGAGAACTCTCGGATAAATCTACACAGTGCGCCCCCCATGCTCTCCCTTAATGAGAAAGCCTTGCACTCCATGTAACCATGGAAATCCAGGAGTGGGCCATGTGCAACGCACCAGTATCAGAGCAGCATAGCCCTCCCAGCTGGTCTGCTTGTTCTGTTGGATGCATAGCATGGTGCCTGAGCAGACTGGCAGAAGATGCGCCGTAGTTTGAGACGATCAAAGAAAGTGTTAGTGGAATGAGCCAGCAGGGCTGGGCTGCTCCCCTCAGAAGGTTTTTATGCATCCAGGCCAGTTGCATCATCTCCATTGTGGATGCGTCCAGCCTGCTCGGGTCTACAGGGCAATCTGCTCCACTGGATCTCCGCTCCTCTCGCTTGTGTCTGCCGTCTGGCCTTTGGAAGCCGCTCTTTACCCTTTAATGCTTGGCTGGTTCCTGCTCCAGAGCAGCTGTGGCGTTTGAGTGGCATCTCACTGTGCCTCAACAAAGAAAGCGAGAACCTGAGGCAGACCTCAGGGAGAACCTGTCACTGTTTGGTGGCCGCTCACGGTGCCTCTGATGTAAGACACAGATGGAGGTTAAGGAGCAGGACTTGTGATTAGCCGTGTGCCGGTAGGGGAATGTAACTATTCCCTGCTGTATGAACAGGTAAACATCCGAGCTAGCACTAACGTGGTGGTGTTGGTCTCTCTGCTAAAACAACGTAGCAATGTGCTCCTGCAGGGCTGCCGTCTGTCTGCACTTGCTCGCCATGTCCTCAGGGCCGATCTGTCAGCACCAGATTGTGGCTCTGCACTGCCGCTGCCCTGTCAGGGAAGGCGAGGATGAAGGACAGCGGCAAGGATCTGCGAGGCCGAGGGGGCCGTGGGGGCACTCCTTGTCGTTTCCCCAGTAGCTGTCGCATGACCTACAGCGACTGTTGCCACGGCAGCCATATGACATCATAATGGGAAGCTGCGAGTACTGGGCATGCCTGCTAGATGACTCCCTCCTTAACTGTTCTAAGAAAAATATTGTAGCAGCACAGTAACACAGTGAAGACCCGCACAGAAATGCTATTTATTTTTAATGCCCTGTAAGAAGCGTTACAGCAATGCAGTGTCTTGAGTGTAGGAATCACCCGAGAGCGTTTGTTTATGCAGAAAAAAAAGTAAAAAGTCTGAGAAAGTCACAGACCCTGGAGCAGCAGTAAGAAGAGCAGTAGGAGCACAGATGGTATCCTCAGGGTTTGGAGCCAAACCTGTACCGGGGTCCACACCGGTGTGACTGCAGGTAGAGTCCGATTCCGCGTTCTTTTGGCTCGGATGATGATAGGCTGGTGATGAGGCGCCAGCTGGCCACTCTGCTCAATCTGCTGGATATCACTCCGTCTGGCCCGGCTCAGAACCAAAATGAAACGCAAACTTATAAATGTAGTGTTTGCCGGGCAGCTGAGCATCACTGACTTTCTGACATTATAGAAGTTATAGAGGAATAAAGGCTGACAGCGTGCGTCTATTTTCACTCCTAGGGACAGAAGGTGGAGGCAGAAAGGTACTTTCTGAAGGCTGTTCAGCTGGACCCAGCTAAAGGGAGCTGCTACATGCATTATGGTGAGTACAGGTCACGCAGAGACACGCTCAATGCTCTCTTTATTTGTTACTACTGTAGCTGTATGGAGTACAGGTCACGCAGAGACACGCTCAATGCTCTCTTTATTTGTTACTAGCTGTATGGAGTACAGGTCACGCAGAGACACGCTCAATACTCTCTTTATTTGTTACTAGCTGTATGGAGTACAGGTCAC